ACGCCGCGCTCTGATTGGTGCGCGCTCGTGAAAGCTCTGATCTGCGGGGAGTGTGGTAGGTGTTGTACGTCTCAAAAATACACGCCTCGCGCTAAATCTCGATCTGATGGGGCTTCAGATCGAGATTTTTCACCGCCGCAAAAGTGAGAGCGCAACGGTACTAATTGAAAACTATACCCAATAAACTAAGAGCTTTGCGATTTTTTCTTCATTAATCAATACAAAATTGAGAGTTTGCGACTGTATTAGAAATATACAGTAAGAAAGATGGTCCTAAAAGTCAAGTTTTTCTAACAACTTGAAAAAGAAAAGAAAGAGAAGAAAACGATCGGCAAAAGTCGAAGCGCGGCGAAAAAGAACTGTCTTTTATGATTTCAAAATACTTTCAAAGAGTTTCAAACTAGTTATTTTGAAATTTTCCTGAGAGCACCAAACTTGCCGAAGATATCGTAGAGTTCTTCAGAGTTCTGGCTAAAAATATTGATTAGTTTTATGGAAAATTTATTAGAATTTTAAGTAAAATTACCAGCTCAAAGGGGCAAATGTTCGAAGTCCTGAGGAGGAAGACAGACAGCTCGGCAGTAGGGACATTCGAAAAATGCGGATGCTCATTGAGCCACAAGAGGCAGCAATGGCGGCTTTTTCAGATTTTTTAAAAAAAGAAAGAAAGAAATTTTTAATAATTTTGAAAATTTTTAAAATCTGTGCCAGATGAAGTGGCCGTTCTGGCACTCCACACTGCAGGCGGGACAGACGCCCCGCTCAGCGCCTTGCGGCAACACATTCGCACAGATGTCGCACTGAATTTTTAAAAGAAATAACACTGTAACAAGCAATTACAGTTAATATCATATGTGGTCATTCTTCGGGGTAAAGAAAACTGTTTCTCCCTAAACCTACTCTTAACCCGACTTACATCGAATGCTACATCTTGTCGCTATTCGAGCTGCTGCAGCGGCTGGAGCTCCACCGGATCAGCAGGATCATCTGGGTTGAGATCGGCGACTTCTTGATCGACGGCTTCAATCACGGGCGCAGGGAAGTCGAAGATAGGCTCAGCCTTTGACGAGTTATTTTTTGAAAGTGAGAAAAATTATAAAATTTTCTTGTTATTTTTAAACTCGTTCCTGGAGTTCATCCGCTTGGACTATCTCCAGAGGCGGTGGCAGATCCTGAAACACAGGCGCACCATGAACTGGCGCACCTTGAGCCTGAATCGGAGCTGGAGCTTGAGCTGGAGCTAGAGCTTGAGCTGGAGCGGGAGCATGAAGAATTGCAGGTGGAGGACCCGGCATCGCAGGGACGCCTTGAGCTTGTTGCGGAGGTGAGCGTCGAGCGCGCTGAGCAGCTGGCCCTTGGTGCTCATCGGCCACGGAAGCCTCGCGTCGGCGTCGTCTTCCTCGTCGACTTGGTCCTGGCGCATTTCGGTCCTCGTCGGAAGAACTCGCAAGCTCCTCGCGTCGAATAACTCTTCGACGGGCCCTGATCGGCGGCAATATGCGGAATTGCCACTGAAATTTAATTTTTGATAACCTGTTTTGCAGGATAATTTATGCCATTTTAAATGGATTGAATAAAATAAGCAAAATATAACAATTTTTAATAATAAACTACTCGCTAAAAGTTGAAAATGTCAAAATGAAATAGCGGTAATTATTTTATGCTTAAACCTTGCGACAAGATAGACGATTCGAAAAAGGACTAGTGAGTTTTATTGAGCTAGTTTTATGAAAATCTTTGAAAATATTCTTCTGAAAATATTCAAGAACTTACTTCGTACCGCCACCCGCAGTGCCGGCAGTGATGAAGGTAGGAGTAAGGACTGAGAGATGTACGTGGCCCTTGGCCGTCTTCTCTACCCGGACAGTCAAGATTCCGGCACCGCGGGCGGCGGAAGTCAGCGACGTTGAACATTTGAAAAATCGTAATTTTGGCAAAAGCGTGTTTTCTGACGATTTTTGAAAGGCTGAGTGAGAGCTTGAGAGTCGAAAATCGAGAATTTCGTTCAAAACGATAACGAATTTGGCCATTTCTATTGTCCGCCAAGAATGATTCGACGATATCTACTGATACAGGCTCAAAAACAACCCGTGCAAAATTGTTACATCAGAATTATCAATCATATTTGCCAGATTGGCGAGCATTTCATGAAATCAAGGAAGAAAACCAACCAGTACTCCGGTACTTTGCAAAAGAATCCATTGCCAGTTCATCCCTTTTCTCCATGATTCCAAAAATCAGAAAATTTTCTGACTAAAATAAGCGAAAAACTAACATTTTGCAGATTTATTTTAATCAAAAATACAGTTACAGTAACTACAGTTTTGAGGCGACAGAAAAGCCTTGATGAAAATCAACAATTTCGAGAATTTTAATCTCGAGAAAAAGTACTATTGTTTATTCTTTTTGAATTTTTATTGTTGAAAATCTAAGTCAGGAAGGATTGGTGATAAGACTTTCGATGTGATAAAAAATCACTCCAAAGTAAGCTTCGAATTTTATCAGGAAAGCCTAATTTCCTACTTGTCAAGCTTGGTCGTTTTTCAAAGAAAATCGAGAGTTCTAAAAAACTAGGCTTCTAAGCGTCGATTAAGACCTTCATCTCTTCACGCACCGAAAATAACCCGAGAATCACTAATTCGAATTCTTTTCGTAATTCTCGAGATTATTTTTTGCTTAGATGCAAGTCAATTTTTACATTTTTCTTTGAAGCTTCGCTTTTCGATTTTTTGATAGTAAGAATCTGTAACTTGCTCTTCAATTTCTCTCAATAATTTTATGAGAGGAATTCCAGTAATGCGTTCGATATTTTGAAGACCAGAAAAGTCGAAGTTGTCGGAATCTCTCTTTAGTAAAAGAGTGTACTGTCTATGACTGTGTATTCCTTGCGCTTAGCGATCGTAGTTTGGATGATTTTTTGAACTGTTAAATTATCAATTTCAGTTCAATTTCTGCTGAAAAATCATTAGTAAGAAGTTTTTCTGTTAAAAAATTGACTGTACAAATTTTTGCAATTTCGAGCAGCCAAATTTCAAACATGCTCAAGATCAAATCAGAATGTCATAAAACACAATCGGCGAACGTTAAGAAATCCCATTTGTGAAAGCAAGGGTAATGTAAAATACAGAAAGCACTGTATCAAGAGCGGATACAACCTGCGGTTTACCTTTATCACGTTTCCCTAAAATCATTTCAATTTGGTTCGCTCATGAATTTTAGTGAGGGTCTGAAAACGCTATTTTTAAGCAAACTCTTCTCCTTAATTTAAGATAGTGATACCCTTATCCCTTCAAGCGCAATTGCTTGATAACTGTTCCGTGAAATATGGAACTGGTTAGATTTCATTGTCGTCGTCTTTGTTTTCAAAAGCAGTTTTCTCTTTACTTTTTATTTGAAACAAGATAACTGTATTACAGTTGATTACTGACTCTTTTCTTAAAAGAGGGGGAGAGAAAATAAAGGAAAATCAAAATTTTTCCTTTAAGGGTATGGTACGCGCGGAGGCCCAAAGCAGAGGCGATCTCCTCCTACCCTATCAATGCTGGGAAGGCGTACAACAGCTCAAAATAAAGTTCTATCCGAGATCTTTTGATTTACACGAGCTTTTTCTGAAATACAAACAAAAAGTCACGTGCCGGTGGCTCAAAATTGTCGTCTCAAAGTAATTTCTTTTCTACTCTTGCGGAAGATATTTGATGAAAAATCAATTGGCTTGAGCAATAAACTAAAAATAGCTAGCAAAAAGAATTTATCAATGATGCGCTAAATTCACTTTAGGCACTAGAATTGGCGATTTTCCGTGGAGATATTGAAATCCTGATTTTGCTCCGCGAAAGTCATTCTCATCTACTCTATTTTTATACAGTAATATTCAATACTGTATCTCGAAAATGAACAAAGAAAATCATAAAACTGACTGCAGTAAAACGCTGCCAGTAAACATTGAAGCCGCAATAAATTTATTTTGTTGCAACTGCTTTTCTATGAAAATTGATTCTCATTATTATGCGAATCTGACGGATCAAACAAGGCAATTTGAAGTCCTTTTGATTGAAATCAACGAAAAGTTTCAATTGAAAAACAGCGAAAGGCTGAAAGAAATGAAAGAATTTATTGATGAAAACGTTATTAAAAATTCTAATCCTCACCTTTCGACCAGAGAATGGTACTTACTCAATTACGAAATAAACGCCGGAAAATTGGCATTTCTTCCAACTTATCGTAAAATGTTTAATTTGATTCTGTTAGCAGAGGCTGTTCTGAAATCATCAGAAACACGTATTTCTTCACAAGCTCGAAGAAGACTCAGAGCAAAAATTCAAAAAATCACACATCGAAGCATTTTAAAATATTATGGTCGTTATATAGAAGCGAATGGATATTCAAGAGGGCTCGAAAATTTCAAAATGACGATTTATGAGCAAAAGAATGCCCCTAAAAATAGTTCTTTGGAACTATCATTTTTTCTGTGTCTGACTTTTGGAGTTGGATTTCTTCTATTGAATTTGCTAAAATAAGTCAGTAGAGGGCGCTTTTGCTATTTAAGGATTCAGTTCCTAGCATAAATTGACAAGTGAAAATTGGTAGTGAGATGCTGCTCTCACTGGGGAGCGCCACCTGGTATCGGCTCTCGCGCCCCACCTAGTGTCGGCTCTCGAGCGCCACCTAGTGGACACTCAGGAATGGCTCTCTAGTGACATCTAGTGGTGGCTCTTTGGCGCCACCTATGGTGAGTCGAAAATTTTTTTAAGAACGCGAATTTAAATTCGGCGCAATAATGACTGTTGATTGCTCATTGTTCTTTCGGAAAATCGAGAAAATTACATGTACATTCTGGAATAAATGACGAATAAGAGTCATTTAATGAGTAATAGCTCGAATCTTCCAGGAATCAACATTTCTACTGTCACGAAGGTTCTGGAAGGCTTCAGAAATTCTATATGACTCACCAGCCGAGTATATAAGGCCGACCTGAAGGCAGATCAGCATCAGACATAAAAATGAACAACCAAAAAACCAATTTTTCCACTTTTTCCAACACCAACGACCAACAACCACCAGAGACTCTCTCCAACGACCAACAACCACCAGAGATTTTCTCCGGCAACCAACAACCACCAGAAGACGTCTCCGACTCTAACGATGATCTCTACATCGATGAAGAGGAAGACACCTCGCTCCTCGACTACAACCCACCATCCGTCGGCAGCGACAATGTTTTCCTCCCAGACGAAGATGTCGACGAGGCCATGTCAACATCCGGCCCTCTAGACCCACCAAACAGTCCGGTCGTCGAGGAACCAACCAGCCCAGAAGCTGAACCGACCGTTTCGGTTGACGTTCTCCCGAAACAAGAGGAATCCTCCGGCCAAAAAGCCGAAAAGGCTGTCAAGAAAGAAGATCATGACCGTCCCGGTCCAAGCGTCCGTCCTTGCTGCGGATCGAGTCGCATGTTAGTGCTTCGACAAACTGAAGGCAACCAAAACCGACAAGTTCGATTCCTGCGCGATGGACGACGCTGGTCCCAACAAATTCGATACAATCCAAATCAACCACAGCAGTGGCGACATGATGAAGGCCAATCCAACATGTGGCACAACCGAGTTGTCGTCCACGACTCGTTCAACGAGCGCCGTAATCAGTGGCTCCGACTTGAGAAACTTCAACCACACCATCGACTTCCGAAAGTTGGAGAGCCCAGAGATATCCCAGAATTTGTAAAACGATTGCCTGAGGACATGAAGCACACGCTCATTGCTGCCATCCACAAGGCCGACATGCGAGAGATTCGACGACTACTGATCGTGATCGGTAGCCGGAAGATGGCACTTACCAACAACTTGTGCAAGCGACTCTCCAACCTGATGCTTCTTGGCATCTACAAAGGTTTCCAACCACTCCGCGTGAACCAGATGGTTCCCATCGAGATCTTCCCGAGATTCTCGCGCAGCTCTTTGGCCTGCATCAACCTTGTGGATCCAGCCAGGCTGATGATCTACCTTGGCTACCCCAGCCTTGGGTACAAGCTGAACAACAATGCCTGCGGCGAAACCTTGTGGCGACGAATCCAACCAAAGCACCGAGTCGCCGTATACCGCGACTCATTTGCCTTTGGTGCCGCTTTGTGCAAGCGACTGCAATAGATGAGAAACTCTCTTTTGCAACAATTTCTCCGCACATGTCCACATATAAGAAGTATTCAGAACTGACCAGCCATTTTGCTCCCCCAACAAATACCACCTTTCCGTTGGGGGGGAGGAGATGTAAGGCCGAAAAGTCCTTACTAGTAGTGTAGCAAAACGGTGGTGACCATTTCTGACCATTTCCGACCACTTCCGGTCACTTCCGCTTCACCTCCGGTTCACTTACAAGTGTTTCCAATCACTTCCGGTCACTTCCAGTTCATTTCCAGTTCACTTCCGGTCATTTCCGGTCACTTCCGGTTCACTTCCGGTTGACCTCCAGTTGACCTCCAGCTCACTACTGAAAGGATAGATCCATTATAAAACACCACAAGAGTAAGCCAAAGTGAGTGCTCACTGAGAACAGCGCCACCTGGCGTGGGCTCTCGCGCCCCACCTAGTGTCGGCTCTCGAGCGGCACCTAGTGGTAGCTCTCGGGCGCCACCTAGTGGTCGCTCAGGATCAGCTCTCTAGTGCCCTCTAGTGGTGGCTCTTTGGCGCCACCTATGGTGAGCACAAAAGCCTTGGTTACTCTATACTTGGCCATAGTTACACCTTATGAGTCAATGACTCACTCCTGACGCATGGATTACATCATCTGAAGATACTCCTCGAAGCTTCTAGCGACAATGAATCACAATGACGAACTATGACATCATCTTGGAGAATCTACACGAATATTCCATTGCTGTTCTAAGAAGCCTCAAGATTATTCTATTCCTGTTCTAAGAAGCTTCTTGAACATTCTTATTTTCCCTTTCTGACTATATAAGCGCTGTGTCTTTCTGAATAAAATCACTTCTTAACTGAAACCCAAAAAACAACTTTACTCTCTTTTATCCAGCAACAACAACAGCAACAACAACAGCAACAACAACAGCAGCAGCAACAACACCAGCAGCAGCAACGACAACGGCCGCTGAGCAATCAGTGGTAACAAGTACTCTCACGGGTACTTGCGAACTCAGGTCTACGCTTTAGTAGAGCTGTTTATAGTCTTGAATCTTGTAGTCGTAGTGTATTGTCTATTTAGTCGTACACGCATAGACCCAAGTATAAAAAACCAGAGCAGGAATTTGACTAGCGTCAGGAGACCAGTAAAAGGGTACTTTGTGCCCCGTCATAAGTGAGGATTACGGAGCCATTCCGATCGGAGCGCATCGAGGACTCCTTCTGGTTTCTTTGACCGTAATGCGGAGGCCTTCGTTCTATTGCTAAAGAGGTCGGTTGAGACACAAATAAATCTTTTGTAGTTGTCGGTTATCTGCAGAGATCAAATAAGGTCTATCGAATGACTCTCGAATGGCTGGAGTGGTGCGGTCACATGTCCAAGTGGAGCATTGAGTGCATTCGTTGTCGGCTTCATCAGCTGGCATTTTCGAAACGATCGAATGTAGTTAGTCACAGTTGCTTTAAAGTTTGGATAGAAGTTCTTTTCCTCGATACTTTTTAGCGTCTTAAAGATCCCAGGGTGGCCCGATCTGTCGTTATACTCCTCCATTATTTCTCGGTGAGTCGAAACGGGTGGAATTGCTTTGAATCCGTTTTTGTCTATGCCGGTGAAGAAGGCTCCGGTGACGCTTAAGTTCTTTGGTGTCTGAGTCCGTGTCCCCTGGTCAGCGATCGGTCTTCTGAAACTTGATCACATCTCGAAGAATTTCGTCTGATTCTCGAAGGAATAGAAAGTCGCGGGGCTTCACCATGTTGATCGTTGGTTTTTGAAGCTCGTTGATTTGGCGAGAAAGACAGTCGGAGATTTTCATTTCCTCTGACGGTTTCATGATTGTTTCAAAGTCAAATTTGCTTATCTCGGCAAGCCATTTTGCAATTTTTAGCTTTCGACTCATTATTTTGTGCGCCCAATTAATGCATGAATTATCTGTGAACCAGATAAACTTTCGACCGAGAAGATAGTGGCTCCACTTTTCCATTGCTCGCTTGCCGGCCAAAAGCTCCTTCTCGCTGATCGTATAGTTCCGCTGTGCGTCATCAAATTTTTGTGACAGGTAGGCGACTTTGCAGAATTTCTCATTCTTCGTTTTTCTGTAGAGAAGAACTGCTCCAAGTTCGCTGGCGTCTGTCTCGATCGCGAATTCGCCAACATTTGGATTAGGGATTTTTACGCTTTTGAGCCCGTTGAGTACTTTTTCCGCTTCTTCAGTCCGTTTGAATTCCTTACTCATTGCCTTATTAATTGGAGCAGCCTTTGACGCGAAGTGCGGAATGAAGTTTCGATGGTAGTTGAGCAGTCCGAAAATGCTCGCGGCTTCTGTTTTCGTAGTTGGTTGGCGCAGGTCACGAACTGCTTTTGTTTTGTCACAGAACTTGATTCGTCGTTTCAGGAATTCTGTCCTGGCAGCTCTTATCTTAAGGTTGTTCTGGCGGAGGATAGACAGGACTTTTTCGATGATTTCTAAGTTCTTTTCAAATTATTGCGAATGAAGACATAAATAATCCAAATAGATTGCAAGTTCGCTGCTTAGTATGTCAGCGAATATCTTGGCCATCATCTTGAAATACCGCTAGCGCATTTTTTCCACCCATTGACATAGCTGTCCAGGTGAACTGACGGTATGGCATCATTATAAAGAAGGCTTCATTATAAAGAGGCTTCATTATAAAAAAAGCATCATTATAAACGGCTTTATAATGAAGCCTTCTTTATAATGAAGCCTTTTTTATAATGATGCTAGTTTATTAATAATGATGCCAAAAATATTGTAAGCGTAAAAACATCAAAACGAGAGGGTAAATAACAGTAAAAAATTCTGAGATCGCGGACAAAAATTTTTTTGAGAATGGTTTTCTGAGAAAATTTTTGCCGAAAAGAAGCATCAAAAGCCCTTATATTTGAATTAAATATTGTCAATTCTTCATTAATAATGAATCATTATGAACAGGAGAGTTGAACTCATAACTTTTTGATACGAGATTCATTTCTAGCATTGGAAAATAGCCTTACAAGCAGAGTTGCAAGTTTTGCTATATTTCTGCTGAGCGGGCCTTTTTCAGAAGTCATTGTCAATGACTCATTGAGCAGAGCTGAGCTGAGCTGATCTTCTTCAAAGGTCAATATGTTGAGATCAGCTGGGCTCATCATTTTTAAAGGTCATTGAGCTGGGCTAAGCAGACATTTTACCAAGGGGACAGACCCCGTTATATAAAAATATTTCTGTCTCAAAACTTTCCTCGGGTCTCCTTCTTGTTTAAAAAACAGTTTTAAGAAACTCCCATAAGGCCTAATGGAGGGCCGATTTTTGTGTGGCAGCCCTAGTAATACACAGCTACAGTCATTATCTTTTAAAGCCTCTGAGTTTCAGTCAAAAATTTCAGTCAATAAATCAGAGGTCGAAGAAGAGTTTACTTAATTAACTCTAGTATTTTCACATTTTTACGCTTACAATTTTTGGCATCATTATAAATAAACTAGCATCATTATAAAAAAGGCTTCATTATAAAGAAGGCTTCATTATAAAGCCGTTTATAATGATGCTTTTTTTATAATGACGCCTTCTTTATAATGAAGCCTTCTTTATAATGATGCCATACCTAGTAATGATAATGCATGCGGGGGACCAACAGTTAATACGAGTTATCAAGGCTTAAAGAAAAAGTATAGTGGTGTTTATCAATGCACATTTGCTCCGCGCTGCGCGCCATTCTCATTCACTGTCCGCGAAGCTCTATTTCACGCGCCGTGAAAGCGCTCGCCGCGCTCCGTGAAAGCTCAAGCCACATTCCTCAGACTGCTCAGCCGCACTTCACAGAATATCTCACCACCCACCATAGAACACTCCACCACGTCTTACAAAACACTATATAAGAAACATTTCTCTGTTCACACACACACACACTAAAATCAACTACCAACAAAACTTACTTTACTCTTTTATATCCTGCTCCCGAATACAAATAAACAAGTCTCAACAAACCCAATTTATGTACTTTGATAAACACGTACATATTTTGGTGACTGAAGAAAACGGAACGCCCACAACGAAACCCAGCTAGAACCAGAAGAAAGAACGAGAAGAAAGAACCAGAAGAAAGAACCAGAAGAAAGAATAAAAAAAAGAGCGATTTTATCCTGACCTTCTGCAGACCGCCGCTTCCAAGAACAGACTCACGTCAGTACAGGTAACCCAATAGGCTAAACTTTTGATATCATGGGGGAACTTTATTATAAATTGGTAGTTGATCTGACTGCTAAAGAGCTTATGCTTATTTATGACAAACACCCGGATAAGAAATACCCGCTCCCTATTCCCCGATTTGACAAGTCAGGGTGTGTCCTGAATCTGCTCAATATTCAGCCAGACTTGTTTGACCAATTAGATAGAAAATACTTTTTTTCGAAAGGTAGACCAAAGAATTGAATTTGACCCAGATTTCGATGTTAATAATATCCAAGAAGCTTTTCAAAAAACAGCTCGTGCAGATCATAAAATTGATATCGATAAAATAAATGAAATAATTGAAATGGATAACCTGAACTCAATTCTCGCTCGAATTGATGAGTCTGAAAAGGTAGAACCGAAGTTCCGACCACCACCCCTGATTCCCAGCCATCTGGATCTGCCCCTAGAAACGATCCTAGAAATGCTTCTCGAAAAGAACCTACTCAACAGCAAAAAGAATCATCGCCCGATTAACCTAAATTTGGACAAGTAAAAATGAAGACTCCCAAATTCGACTCGCAGCTCCCTGTAGAAAACTGGATCGTCAACATGGAACTTTTCGGTAAATGTTCAAAGATCACAGACGCGGATCTGATCAGTGTCGCCTTGTCTCAAATTCTGATGGAAGAAAGTGGAACCTTCTTGATTGAAGCCATTACCGAAGAAGAAAAGAAGAACTGGGAAAGCTTTAAAACGAAATTAGTGCAAGTTCTTGGCAAGGACAAGGAACACTTCAAACATCTCTACACATCGTTTCAACGAGGCCAGGAAACCCAACAAATG